TTCTCTGGGCAATCTGTTCCTGTGACAACCTCTTGGTTTAAAACTCTTGCTCCTTGTCCTGTCACTACAGGACCTAGTAAATTTTTTCCCTATGTAACCCTCCTTTATACATTGAAAGGCCACCATAAGGTCTGAGAGCCTTCTCCAGGCTGAACAACCCCACTTCTTCCAACTCTTCCTCATAAGAAAGGCCCTCCTCAGGACCCGCTCTAACAGGTCCTTGTGTGTCTTGCACTGGGGGCCCCAGATCTGAACACAGCACTCCAGGTAGGGTCTCATGAGAGCAGAGCAGAGGGGGAGAATCATCTCCCTTGCCCTGCTGGCCATGCTACTCTTGATGCAACCCAGGATATGGTTGGCTGCAAGCATGCACTGCTGGCTCATATCCAATTTGCCAGCAGCGTACCTAAGCCCTTCTCTGCAGGGCCGCTCTCCATCCATTCCTCCCCCAGCCTGTAATCGTACTGGAGACTGCCCTGACCCACATGCAGGACCTTATTGGCCTTATTGAACCTCACGAGACTCACACAGGCCCGCCTCTCAAGCATCATCCACAAACTTGCTGAAGATGTGCCAATATATTTCTAGCTCATTCCAACAGACCCTTGTAGAGCAACAGGTAACACACAGAATCACACACACACAGAATTTCTAGGTTGGAAGAGACCTCAAGATCATCGAGTCCAACCTCTAACCTAACACTAACAGTCCCCACTAAACCATATCCCTAAGCTCTACATCTAAACGTCTTTTGAAGACTTCCAGGGATGGTGACTCCACCACCTCCCTGGGCAGCCTGTTCCAATGCCTCACAACCCTTTCAGTAAAGAAGCTCTTCCTAACATCTAACCTAAAACTCCCCTGGCGCAACTTTAGCCCGTTCCCCCTCGTCCTGTCACCAGGCACGTGGGAGAACAGGCCAACCCCCACCTCGCTACAGCCTCCTTTAAGGTATCTGTAGAGAGCGATAAGGTCGCCCCTGAGCCTCCTCTTCTCCAGGCTGAACAAGCCCAGCTCCCTCAGCCGCTCCTCGTAGGACTTGTTCTCCAGGCCCCTCACCAGCTTCGTCGCCCTTCTTTGGACCCGCTCAAGCACCTCGATGTCCTTCTTGTAGCGAGGGGCCCAAAACTGAACACAGTACTCGAGGTGCAGCCTCACCAGAGCCGAGTACAGGGGGACGATCACCTCCCTAGCCCTGCTGGTCACAGTGTTTCTGATACAAGCCAGGATGCCGTTGGCCTTCTTGGCCACCTGAGCACACTGCTGGCTCATATTCAGCCGACTGTCCACCATCACTCCCAGGTCCTTCTCAGCCTGGCAGCTCTCCAACCATTCCTCTCCCAGCCTGTAGCTCTGCTTGGGGTTATTGCGCCCCAGGTGCAGGACCCAGCACTTGGCCTTGTTAAACTTCATGCAGTTGACCTCAGCCCATCGGTGTAGCCTATCCAGATCCTCCTGCAGAGCCTTCCTACCCTCGAGCAGATCAACACACGCACCTAACTTGGTGTCATCTGCAAACTTACTGAGGGTGCACTCAATGCCCTCGTCCAGATCATCGATGAAGATGTTGAAGAGGACCGGCCCCAGCACCGAGCCCTGGGGGATGCCACTAGTGACTGGCCTCCAACTGGACTTGACTCCATTTACCACAACTCTTTGGGCCCGGCTATCCAGCCAGTTTCTAACCCAACGAAGCGTGCGCCAGTCCAAGCCAAGAGCAGCCAGTTTCTTGAGGAGAATGCTGTGGGAGATGGTGTCAAAAGCCTTGCTGAAGTCAAGGTAGACCACATCCACAGCCTTTCCCTCGTCCACCCAGCGCGTCACTTTGTCATAGAAGGAGATCAGGTTCGTCAAGCAGGACCTGCCTTCCATAAACCCATGCTGACTGGGCCTGATCGCCTGCTTGCCCTTCAAGTGCCGCATGATGACTCCCAAGAGGATCTGCTCCATGAGCTTCCCTGGCACTGAGGTCAAACTGACCGGCCTGTAGTTCCCCGGGTCTGCCCTCCGGCCCTTCTTGTAGATGGGCGTCACATTCGCTAGCCGCCAGTCAGCTGGGACCTCCCCCGATAGCCAGGACTGCTGATAAATGATGGATAGGGGCTTGGCCAGCTCCTCTGCCAGTTCTCTCAGTACCCTTGGGTGGATCCCATCCGGCCCCATCGACTTGTGCACATCCAAGTGCCGTAGCAGGTCACCAACCAGTTCTTCGTGGATGGTGAGGGTAACGTATGAACCTGCCGCTGGAGGACAGCTATTCCTACGAATATCACCGGTGCCTGGTGACCTTTGAATGGGCACGCTGGTGCGGTTCTGCCACGTGACAGAGGCACAGGAAGACGACCTGAGTCACGGCACTGGCACCCTGGGCTTCCCCACAGACACTGAGCTGTGTCCCTCCCTTATAAATATCAGTAGTCTAAAAGAGCTTTTTAGCAAATACTGTTTTGAGTCTCCAAGCTAGCCATGCTGTTCCTGGTGTTGTGAAAAGCCTCAGTCTGACCGGCCTCTCTGGTTTCAGCTGAGCTTTCCTAGGAATGGCATCCAAAATGCTTCCTGCCTGCCGCCTTACCTGGAGAAAATGGCAATGCTAAAATACATTTTGCCCGATTTCTCTTTCATCCTTTTGTCCTTTTGCTTAGGTTGAAGTTCCTGCACTCATATTTCACTTGTGTGAATATTCCTCTATCTCCCCAGAAGATTTACAGAACAAACACTGCTGTGTCTTGAGTTATTTTTAGAATTCCCAGGGAGAAGAAAGGGAGAGAGCAGCAACTCGCTCCTCCTCGGCAGGGAGGGGCAGCTCAGATCGTGAGATAGTCCCCGGCTCCGCAGCACTTCCAGTAGGATTGGCTGCCTTGTTTACACTAGAAAATATTTTGTTGACCATTTCCTGACACTGTATCCTGTTTTGCTAACATTTTTTTTTTTGGATCCAGTCATCAAATTTACATTTTCATTTAGTTTTCCAGTCATATACTTTACCCAGATAATGATTATTCTTATCTGTCTTCTACAGATAAAAGTAAGACTGACCATACAAAGTACTGCCGTAATGGTTATGACACAGATAAACTCCCATTCTCCACAAGTTTTGAAACATTTTGCCAAAATTGTTAAACATTCTTATATTATGTCAAATGAGTATGCCACTGTCACATTCAGCTTGCCACCTTGCAGGTGTGCGTACTGTTTAAAACAGAACAAAACAAGCTTATAGCAAGTTTTATGAGGCACAGGAATGTTAATCTGGACACAGGATTTACTCCCACCTGTGCTTTGCCTGAGCTGCAGGATTACTGGCATGCTTTGTGCTCCTCAACTCCATTTCCACGTGCACATTCATGTCGTTTCGTGACAGAACCCTTTCCCTAGAAAACTCCCCAGGATTTCTCTTTGCCTCTAAAAGAGGCCAAGACACAGTTAGAACTGGCATATCTACAGGGGAAGATAAGGGCTGGAAGAAAATATTTTGTTTAAATTTGTTAGCAGTGGCTGTACTCCGAGCATCCTGGGGTAATCCATACGTTACAAAGGGCACAAAGGGAAGCACACCTGGTTGGTTTGTACCAAGTACAAGAATTTTATGGTGCCCAGGTAGACAGCACGGAGGCGCTGCACACACAATCAGGATAATAGTGCCGCTCGCCACAGTACCGCATGAAAAGAAGCCAAGTGTTTATGGGCAAACTGACGAACCAGCGGGTGATGTGAGGAATGCCGCTGAACCCAAAGGCTGGGGAGGTGATACAGGACTCACACAGATGCTTAAGGAGGGCTGTCTGGCTGTCCTTGGTGGAGTGACGCGCAGCTCAGGTATGGTGCAACGCTGCCTGGCCAGGTCGCACTCTTGCATCACGCCAGGCTTGCTGCTGGCAGCCCCTGGGGTAAACAGCTGGGCGCAGGTGAGAAAACCCACAGGGTGACGTGGATGTCAGTGGACGTGAGGGCAGGGCAGCTGGCACGTGCACTGTGCAATGGGCTACCATCCTGGCCTCTCCACATTGTGTGACACAGGGCTCACTGATGGATCCCCAGAAATAAGGGTGGTCACGGCAGTGAGAACAGCAGGGGGAGAAGCAACAGTGAGGTGGGGATCGGGCTCTTTTCCCATGCACCAAGTGATAGAACAAGAAAAAATGGCCTGAAGTTGCTCCAGGGGAGGTTCAGGTTGGAAATGAGGAGACATTTCTGCTCAGAAGGAGCAGTCAGGCACTGGGACGGGTTGCCCAGGGAGGTGGTGGAGTCACCGTCCCTGGGGGTGTTCAAGGAAAGGTTGGACGTGGTGCTTGGGGACATGGGTTAGTGGGTGATACTGGTGGTAGGGGGATGGTTGGAGCAGATGATCTTGGAGGTCAAAAAGGTTTTTCCAGTCTTAATGATTCTGTGATATTCGGAGAAATTTCTTTACTGAAAGGGCTGCTGAAGCGTTGGAACCAGCTGCCCAGGGAAGCGGCTGAGTCACCATCCCTGGAGGTCTTCAAGAGAACACGTAGATGTGGTGCTTAGGGACATGGTTTTGTGGTGGACTTGCTGGACCTGATGACCTTAGAGGACTTTTCCAACACAAACGACTCAGGGCGGTTTTCATTCATCTTTCACGGCTTTCTGCAGCACGAGAGACACCAAATACCGCACACCCTCCTTTACAAGCTATATGGTCACTTAACACAAGCCCAACACTCTGCATAACCACAGTGGTCCAAAAAAAGAAAGAGAAAAAATAAAATAATAAAAAAAGAACAAATCGCCCCTAGCAAAGCTCGGCGAAGCCCCGAGCCAGCCCCTGCGCGGCGTTTCGCAGCAGGCCGCAGGGGCCCCCTCAGCCCCCCCCCGCTGCTGGGGCAGCTCGGGGGAAGGGCGGCGGGCCCGGGCTGCTCTTCCTCCTCCTCCTTCCTCCTCCTCCTCCTCCTCCTGCTGCTGCCCTTCCCCGCCCCGTGCCGCTGACGTGCCGTGCTGCCGGCCGGGCCGCGCCGGGCCGGGCCAGGCGGGGGCAGGGGCGGGGGCGGCGCAGAGCAGCGCAGCGCAGCGCAGGGCAGCGGCGGCCGGGCGCGGAGCTGCAGCGGGGCGGCCGCGGCAGGGCTGGGCAGGTACCGGGGGAAGGGAGGAAGGGGCGGCAGGGCACGGAGAGGGACCCGAGGGGCTGGCAGGGAGAAAGGGGGAGCCCTCCCCCGGAGCCCTGGCTGCGGGGAGCTGGGTGCAGCCGGGCCTTCCTCGCCAGGTGCTGCCTTGGGTCTGAGGGCTTGTGGTGGGCTCCCCTCGCTGTGTCCTAGCCGAAAGCAGGGCACGCCGGCATGGGCATTGAAGTGTCATTTGAAATGTCATTGCGTTCGTGTTTGTTTTTTTTTTTTTTTCTAAGTATCGTTCCTCTGTAAAATGCTGTGTGCACTAAGTTACACCGAGCTTCATCCCAACTCCCCCTTTGCAAACATTTCGGTGCCGGCAGGGCTGGCATTGCCAGGGACGTAAAACTTCTCCACAGCTGAACCCGACCCTCATCGTCCCTCAGAGCACGTCGTCTGCTCGAGGTCCTGCAGCAGGCTGCGCTTTGGTGAATCAGTGTGAGGACCGCAGGGCTCAGCCCTACCAAAACCCAGTGTCTGGCTCCTGCCATTCGCATTCCTGGCTCCATGGGAAGGCTGCGGTGCGGCTTGTGGTGCCTGGTTGGTGTTGTTGCTGCTTGCCCGGTGCACGGCAGGCAGATTCCTAAGCAGCCAGCCCCATTGCTGGCTGTGAAAATGAAGGAGCTACATGAGGAGATCACGGGCTGCCTGGTTGTTACCTGTTATTTCGTTTTACACTCTGCTGACTTCAGCCCTAGTGTCCTGCCTGGTTCCTGGAAGGAAGGGGAGCTCTTTGGAGCCGTCCCATTCCTCGCGGTTTGTTTGGCATCAGGAGGCGGCCAAGCGGCCTCTGGACTGGGTTAGCAGTCACCGGAGGGCAAAGGTTGGCCACAGCCTTCAGCCTTCCTTCTCCTACAAAAGTGGCATATTAACAGGGGTAGAGATGAACGCCTCATTTAAGATTAACCCACAGTTCTTGTTTTCAAGAGAGAGAAAAGAATGCTAGGGAAAAAAATCCTGGGAACTATAGAAATGATCACAATTTTCCTTGTGCTATTTGTACAAGTGTAAATAAATGCTGTCTTGCACTGTTTTCTTAAGTGCCATAAAGCTGTGTTCATGCACAAGTTAGATAAGGAGCATAAATTTTATAAAGCAACTGCAAAGGAAAAAAAGACACAGGTTTATTGCTGAGTTGGAGGAGTAGATATCAGAATTGTCACAGTAAAAGTTAGTAAAAAACAACACTGCAGAGGCTTCAGAAGTAGAAGTTAGGACTTAGTCTGTATTTTTAGCGGATGTGTTTTCAGTGCGTGTAAGTTAATAAACTATTTAGTGGAAGCACAGTTATGCCTTTGTGAAACTATAAAGGCAGTAAAGTTTGCTGCGAGGCTTATTAGCTTCCAGAAGTAAAAAGCATCTCAGTATTAGCCCAGAAGTTGAACTAATTCCCCCACCCCCGTATTTCCAGCCCGAGTGGGTGTTCGTGCATAATCTGTCCTAAGAACTGCGACCCTCAGAATCAGGGGTCGGCACGCGCTGCTGTGTGATGCTGGGTCAGTTTTTGGACACATTAACCGAGCTGCTCCCAGAACCAAGTATAGTCCTGGCTCCCTGTGCCTGGTCTGCAAGGGCGAAGAAGGTCTCGTGACTCAGACTAACCTTCATCCTCTCTTGGTGTTTAATTATGCTGGTCCGAGGAACACTTTGGGGTTTCAGGGATTTTGATGGGGAAATGTGATAGATGATGGTGCAAGCAATGTGGCAAAGGTGAGAAGAGAATATTTTTTTTATTGCTGCTTTCAGCACAAAATGTCAAAGCATGAGATTAAGCTGGCAGGTTCAAAACAAAAGGGGTGTTTTTTACTTACCCAATGTGTAGCTACTTAAGCTTTGGAAATCCTTTCTGAAGCATGTGGATGCTGAAAGTTCAAAGGGACATAAAAAGCAGCCGGACAAATTCATAGCAGAAAAATCTCCTGAGTACCCCCCCTTCTCACCTGCTGCAGCCCTGGGGTTTGCTGAGCTGTGGATGGAACCAGGGAAAGTATGCTGGCAAAATACCCTCAGGTATTTACCAAATTTTTTTATTCTAGGCATTCAGGACTGCAGGCAGCACACTGGAAGTGGCAGACCTGCTGTCTGACCCCGAACGTCTGCTTTTAGGGAAATTATTTGTTCATCTGAAGTATTTGGGAACAGCTGAGCCAAAGGGACCAGGCCTAGATACAGCTTTGGGGTAGGGGATTGCTCTCGAGGAGTGGTTACATGCTGTCATCATCAAACGGGAAAGGCGGCTCAGGCAGTGCCAATTTCAATGGCTGTGTTCAAGTGCAAAATACTGTGTTCAGGACCGAGATCCCGTAGTGCAGATCGGTAAAGCCCACCTGGCAACAGTGCCGTGGAGATGGGTCTGAGGGCTCAGGGGGATGGCAGCAAGCAGCGGGATGCAGTAACGTGAAAGTTTATCACCTACCTTTTGGATCTAGTGATGTCTGAGTTAATAACATGCGTTTTGTTTTGGCTGCTGTCCTTTAGGAAAGATAAATGCGAACTATGGTCTGGAAGAAATTGTCATCAAGGTTTAGGAAGGGTTTGGAAAGTGCGATCTGCAGAGGCCGTGCATGTTTGGAAAGCATAGCCTACAAAGGCCAAGCAAGCTCAGTTCCAGCAGAAAGAGGTCGAGGTTAGGGATAAGAAGATGCTACAACCTTAAAGTTAGTGAGTTTTTGTCCGTCTGTCAGTGATTATATAGAAAAAGATGGAACTAGTCTGTACTGAGGATTTGATTTAGATAGTAACAGTGGTTGTGCGTTGGGAAAATCTGGGACAAACTGAGCTTGTGGAACCTCCCTTTTGGGAAGGTTTTTGAAAGTAGAATAGGACTTGTATTAAGGATGTATTAAAGACTTTCCTCACAACTCGTTCCTGTGCAGAGGTTTGAACTTGAGTTCTTCAGGAAAAACTTGAACTTGAGTTCTTCCTGGAATAAGTTAATTCAGTGCTCAAAAGAAATGCAATTTTTGTGATACTGAGCTGGATTCTTTCAGTTATTTCTGGTGACCTGATGTTGCAGCTTAATGCATTTTGTTTAAAGTAGCGTCGAGGCAGAACGCATATTGCGGCATTCAACAACAGAATGCTGTGGTTTAAGGGTGCAGCCTGTAATCCTGTAGGAAATGTAGGTTTGGGATCAGACTCTGACTTAAACCACAAAACTCAGAGGGAATAGAAACAGAGCCATTCGTCATCTACTGTAGTATATACTGTATGCTGTATAATCTGTGTTCAAATTTACAGTGTCTTTTGTTCTGAAACACTTTTAAAGAATCGCCAGTCTACAAGTCTGATCTAATTTTCTTTTTAAATCAGAGTGCATTTGTTTAGGTACCCTCATTTTGGTTCTGCTTTTTAAATTATGCACAGACAGAAAAAAATCAATCAGTGATGTAACATTTTAACACAGCATATCGTGCAGTGTAGGTTTGTGCTCTGATTGTGACTGAGACTTAAAGATGTATTTCTGCAGTATTGACGGGCACTAATAATAGAAAGGAATACGTGGGAAAATGCTGGTTTTGAATCGCCGCATGTAAATGAAGTGTGGACCACTGAACGTGGCCTCGTGGAAGGTGGTGTGGGAGCCCCTGCAGCATGCTCAGTTTTTTCCCAGTGAGTCAGGGACAAGGAACGAGTTGCAGCCTGGCTGCGTTTACCCCACAGTCGCAGCCTCGAGTGCAGCTCCCACAGGCATCACAGCTGCTGCACGGTAGTTGTATGGGTTGGTGGCTGCTAGAGACAGAGAGGGGCTTAGGGAGCTGGAGAGGGGCTACAGTTTGTATGTGGAGGTCTCAGGGTTCAGTTTGCTCTTAAAAGAATCGACAGAAAAGTTCCCAGTCTTCAGCTGGAAGTCTGGGTGAACCTTGAACTCCTAAGTAATCAACAAAAGGCCTTTTTAATATCAAATAAAGCAAAACTTTTATTTGCTTTTTGAAGCAACGTTGCAATTCATGCAGTGAGCTTGCTGAATTATTTTTGCAAAGACAGATGGAGAAATTAATAATATTATTTACATAGTGGATAAATATTTAGTTTTCTAAAGGAATTTGCTTTTTTTTGTAACTAACATCATTTAGCAGACCAATTTGACTTGTGGGTGAAAAAAAGAGGAACAGGGACTGTAACAAAGTCAGTGCTTCACAAAAAGCTCTCTCATATCAGCTAGTTTTGTGGCTGTATTGGTAGCAACAGCTTCCTGAATTGAATCTGAAGAATCCATAAAAATAGCTCAGGGAACTCCCATTATCACACGTGACAAAGTTTTGTTAATCTCGGGTTCCTTCCCAGTTGCTCAGAAACCTGACCAGAAGGTGGTATTTTTGTAACCATGTTTCAGGAGAGGTCTCTTATAGGGGAGCAGTGTCCCTCTCAGGCGTGACCCCGAGCAGAAGCCATGCAGGAGGCAGCAGCGCTGGGCGACGGGTCACTTGCTGTGCCCGAGTCTGGGTGAGGACACAGGGGACATGCTGCTTTTGAGCTCCCATCCGAGCTTTGTTGCTTCAAATTCATTCAAGCGCACCCGCTTTGTTCATCACACCCACCCTCCAGCAGCAGACATGGTAGCAATAAAAATTTTGGGGGCAAAGTTTGGCTGCTTTGCTGCATCTTCATTTTCTCAGCTGGGTGGCTGTTTGTGGGCACGCCGGAGCTGCCCCCTGTAGCCCTCTGCTCATTTGAGAAGAGGCACTGGAGTGTTTTGAGAGGGACACGCTCTGTAGCTGGTCTCTTAGGGCAAAGTTTAATGTATGCATTAACCTCTGGTGTAGGCAGAGTTTCCAGGACGAGGATCAAAGCATTAGGGAATGAAAATACTAACAAATATTTTAATAACTTCGATTCTAATGATTCTCTAGGGTTGTAATTTTGTGAATAGCTGTGCTGATGCAATTGCTTGCCAGGCCCCCGAAAGCAGGAAATCTTCCCGCTGCCGTCCCCTCCCTTCCCAGCGGCTCTGGTGTTCAGTGGGC